TTCACTTCTGTTAAGAAATCGAAACTTTGGGGGAGAAACGCTTGGAATGTAGATAAATAGGCGTTGTATCAGTAGTGAACATATTTATCACTGAGAGTTCATGTTAGATTGATAAGGGACCCATCCCGTTTAGCCCGCTTTTTAATCTTCTGTTTGGAAGAGAATAATTACTAAGAACTTGCAGGTAGTTAATTACCGAGAAATTCCATATTGGACTTCAGGAATACAACTTCAGGTAACACATTTTAGTATATAAGGATCAATCAGACTAGACTAGGTATCAATTTTCTTCTCCTGAGGATGCTAACTTTGTTGGCGAAACGCGCGTCGAGTGCAAAAATACCAGTTTGCTGTTAGAGCAATTGATCTCGAAAAAAGTTATTCTAAAGAAACATAATCACGCAAAATTCTTGAAGTTTGAACCCCTACTGCCTCATCTAGGTTCAACATAATCACTTATAAATCTCACCATGCTCAGAGTACAGTTCATTTTGAAGATCAGTCAAGAAAAATAAGTAGTTATCGACTAGTAATTTCAAACCTGTTTTCTGCACTAAATCATACCCGCTGTAAAAACATCTACCAGGGTCAAATGCTAATGAATCAAATATATCTGAAACTGCTCATCTTGAAATGATCTGTAGTACAGTCCAATATGAATTCATTGAAATAATACTCCAGTCAAATTGTGTTTTCAGCAGGAGAGTTTTTGGGTAGTTTTGATTTCTTCCAGGTTGTGTGTTTTTCGGGGTGCTGAATCTGAATCTGAGGTTAGCTAACGAAATTTCGTGAAGGAACATCGGAAGAAATACGAAAAGATGAAAATTCTAAATTTTTTTGAAGTTTTTTGCTGAAAACTCGAGAACTATCAACTTTTCGTGGAAGATCTTTCCATACAAAATGAAAGTAAATAACATTCCCTATGAATTTCATTATTTAGGTTTTTTTCTCCAACAAACCGTTATGCCTCAAACTATAGTTGAAAATTGGCGTATTTTATGTGACTCCGCAAAAAACAACTTTTTTCCACCTATAAAAAACACTTTCCCAACACCAAAACATAATTATGGTCTCTCGACGAGCGTTTTGCTAACCAAGTTAGCGTTCTCAGGAGATTATTATGATCATATGAAATATGGTGTCTATGCCTGGAACTATTCAATATTCGAGGGGTATTCCGGGGGTCAATAGTCTCACTGGAGAGGTATTCGAAGACTAAATACAATCAACAAAATCTGCATGTAATGTTATTGGTTCTACAGTATGTTTATACAGACAGCATGAATGCTCGGCAACCCACTCTCTCCCTTCGTAACTAATCTGTTTATGAGCTGATTTGAATTGGATGCAAAGGATAAGTTGTATTAATTTCCACAAATTTGAATCAGATTAAATTGAATAAAAAAAAATCATTGGTGGAGGACTTTGTTTTAACTTTCAACAACAAAACCCCAAATATTGATATAACAAATAGAATTGAAAACAACGAAGAGCTGCAGGCTGTTTCAGTGTTAAGAAGTGCCCAGGGTATAAAATTTAATGTCTACAGGAAGAATGTCAATACTTTTAGATATAATCCTGATATAATCTTGTCTATAGGCTTGTTACGTTTCCTTTGAGTGAAGGAATGTGCGACATTGAGAAGAATGTCATCAAGAACATGGCTACAAGCAACAGATATTTTTCAAATATTGTAGATAAGTTAATTAGGAAATAAAAATTTAGAGAGAAGTTTCGTAAATCTTCAACTATTCAAAAAGACAAGGATTGAAAGTGTATTGTCCTTCCGTACGAACCGGGATACATTAACGGGTTAGATAGCATTTTCAAAAAGTTGGACATGAAAGTAGCCTTCAAAACTTCACGCTCACTGCAACAAATGGTAACCCTAAAAACAATATAATTTTATTAAATGAACTGTGAGGACTGTGACAAATATATATCGGTCAGACTAAGCGAGCAATTAGAACTTATTTCAAAGAACACGTAGCGTATATCCGATTTCGAAGAACAGAAAAATCTAATGTCGCTTAACACGTGTTGAAGAACGGATTGGAAAAATACTTGTTTTGGGTTTATTCTACAATAGAAGTTTTAGTTCAACCTTCAATTTTATAAAAACCCTAGTCAAAACTCCCTCTTATTTATTCCAATAAATGTCCAAAATGTTCACCATTCAAAATACAACATCTTCTTTTCTTTCAGTGATAACAGTAATAATAGATTTCCACCAAATTCATTATCTAAAATTACAAAACTGGCAATTGTTATCACATAATTTTTCCAAGAATACATCTTCGAGAACTAAACCCTGACCTTGAATCTCCGCTTGGAATGAATACATTAAATTATGTGGTGAATGGTATCTGAATGACGAAAATGGTGAAGGTTTGATTATTTTCTAAACTGAGAATAATACTTTTTGATGATCATGAAAGTCATTTGTTTTGATGCTTATGTTTCCTCATCAAGTGAAAAGAACGAATTTACATTTTAAAATGTGATCCCGGTCCCAACTTTTATTCCGTAACGTAACCCACTCCTCATTTATTGAAAATCGTTCAATCATATTTTGAGTGGATCATTTCTGATAATTATTTTGAAGGAAAGCCTTTCTTCATGTATCGTACCTAATCTGAAATGTGAGTATCAGACTATACTCAACGAAATGTTATTCAATTTAATGTACTGTAATTACTCTAAACAACTTCCTTTCTTGCCTCAATTATTGACTACTTTTACAAATAATAATTTGGCCATGATATTCCAGTTATAGTTTGAGAAGGAATTTCCTGCAATAAAACTCGTCATCTTCATAATGAGATATTTCTAGTTCTTTTGTTAAGCCAAGATTTCTCGATGGTTAGCCTTGGAGGGAACGATAAACCCACACATAAAATAATTTTACTTTGTCTCATCCGGATTCGCATATTTTCGGAAATACGGGGTGATCTTAAGAATCTACATCATTTAAGGTATAACGATAAAATCCCCACGGTATGTCATAAAAAATGTTAGCATCATTTTCAGATGAGTAGGAATTTTAAATGTTTCAGAAACGACATTTCTTTCTCCTTTTCTCAACCACGTGGGTACGACCACACCTGAGGAAGCTATTTGATGGTGAAAAACATATTGTGGTTTCGTAAATTATTCAGTGAAAATCTCAAAATGAATTGTTACTTTTTATTTTCATTTTCTGAATCAGGCAGCATCTGCTGATAGTCTTAACGTTCGACCATTTCTTTTATTGTAGATGAGGGCTGTTTTAAGAAATGTTCTTCACTTCTTCAATTTTCATCCTTTCCTGGCATAGTTCGAAAAATTTTGTCTGTTGTCGTAGTATATTCCTAGAAGAAATGTATGTTTGACTCAATCAATTTTTTTTAATAACTTCAACGACTTTTTTGAAAAATAACTAATAACCAGTGTCATGAACTCATCTATATAGACTTATTGGCAGTTTGCAATGATAAACGATCCTTCTGCTACTTTTTGAATCAGTTTACCAGGATATAGATTCAAATATTTCAAATCGATTTATTATTTAAAAAATCAAAGAAAAGACTAAAATGTCAAAGTAAGACTAAATAAACTTAAACACGTGAAAATGAGAAAAATCACCAAGCTAACAGAATTATAGATTGTCAATTCAAAATAAAGAGATAAATGGCGAGGCTAATATAAAGAATACAAATAAGTAATAAAACCTTGAGAATGAGAATGTTAAATATATTTCCCAATATGACACAGTGATTTGAACAAAATGGTGACCAAATAATCGAGCCATATTCTGAGCGGGAGACTATCAAGGCAAGATTCACCGATCTCATTGAATTGACTGATGATAGCAGTTTCCTAATATAAATATATGTATGAACAGCAATATGATTTATATGATCTACAAACCGCAATTGCTCGTCAAAAATCCTTCACTGAAGTGACACGTGTTAGTGGATTACCATTCAGGGAGAATGAGGTGTGAAAATGTCTATTCACTTTGTAAAATCTGATGGAACTACATTTAGTAATGTTTGTGTGTTAATTGTTTTCAATACTCTATCTATCCAAATCATGTTGTAACAGAGTTACATCGTCTAGTGATTCTATTGGTCTGAAAATTTTAAATTTATTTTTGAACATTAGACAGTTGGGATTTTGAAAACATTCTGTAATGTCATTAACAAAGATGTTGAATAAAAGAGATGCACAATGAGACCCTTGAGGTATTCCCGACGTTATATGAATAACAGTTGACCTAGTAATTTCTATCATAACTTGCCGAAATCAGTGAGTCAAAAGCAATTGTATCGAAATATTTTGTATAAAGAGAGGATTATTATCTAGATAGCGATTGCCTTCTTGATTCTCATGTTCGAATAAATTTCAATAAACAGTATTATTTTCCTTGTTCAATAAAGAGAATATGCCACTTTGTTTGTAAATATTAGGTGATATCGGTAAATAACGATACTTATTTACAGTTCGTTCATCTCTACAAGTTCTGATTGAAATTCTCCTAATCGAAATAGCAGAAAATATAATTGATATTTTTGAACAACTTTATTGTACAATTTTAAAGTTCTACTCAATTTAATTACACAATTTAAAAGAAACGTTTACATCACTGACAACTTTTAAAAAGATCACCTGATCCATTTTGAACCCTAAATTCGGGAATAAACCTGAAGATAGGTGTCAAACTTTGGAGAAAAAGTCACGTTTAACATTTTATTCCAAACAACTGATGGTCTGATTGTCAAATGAAAACTTCGGTGTCCTTTCTTCATGAGAAATTTTTAGCAACGAGCTAAACATACTATTTCTCAGAACATACTATTTCCTTATGCAAATGGAAATAATTTCCAATGCAATTTGTCCCATTTCCTTGAAACTACAATAGTGCAACTGCTTATAATAGTCAATAATTTGGTGATTTCACAATATCTTTTTTGATATTTTTTCATCTATTTAGTGGAAGTGACATACATATTTTTCAGATCCTCGAACAGCCGATTGGCCGCTGATGCAGAGTCCGGTTCCCACACTGATGATGGTTTTGGGTTATCTTTATGTAATCATTTTTCTGGGTCCCAGAATGATGGAAAATAGAAAACCTTTCAAGCTGAGAGAAGTACTGATAATCTACAATGGAGCTCAAGTATTATATAGCTTGTTTATGTTATATGAGGTAAGGTATTCGATATTCATTTCCACTAATATTTCACTAATTTATTAGAGAACTTTCGGCATTATTCAAAACTGATCAATTTTTTATGATGAAGTCACAAAGCCCACGAACAGATTCACTTTAAAACAACTCAACTTTAGCATTCATCAAACTATTCTATTGATTTATCACCTGATATTGCCAGTTGCAGTATGAATGTGTGATTGTCATGTTGACCAGTTGCTGCTTTCCGATGAATATACCTAATCACTGGCAATAATTTCAACATCGACAGTTTGAACGCTGTCTGCTCAAAAAATTGTGTGATTTTTCATTTTTCTCAAAAAATATTTATTTATTCGTCAATATCTATTTTGTCCCCCTTTTTTCCAATCCTCGAAGCATTTCTGATGGCTGAGGTATGATAACGGTGTTGTTTTTGGCCAGAAAATTATAAACAAGTAATGAGGAGTGCGCAGATGCAGTATCGTGATGAGAAAGCCATGTATTGTTTTTCCACAATACCGGGCTTAAGATAATACTCCACATTGACCGTACAACATTTTGACAAGAACTGATGCACTACAACACGGTAATCGAAGAGAACAATGAGCAAAATCTTGACACTCAATCGAACTTGGCGTGCTTTTTTGGTCTTTGCTCTCATGGGCTCATCATTGGAACAACATTGAAACGTTTGGAATGTAGAGAAATAGTCGTTAGAATATAACATGGTAAAGGATTTTTGATCAAAAAAAATTCACTGTTTCATCTCAGGCGAAATATAAAACAATATTCAAGTAGTGCCTCTGGAAATTCATATACAGATCTGAAATTGATTGTAAACCTGAAATTGAATATAGAACTTCTCATGTAACAGTAACGAATTTGCAATTTGACTCAAAGTGGGTCATTTTCAGATTGAAAATGATTTGTTTGTTGCTAGTTGGTGACGAATGAAATTGCGAAAATCAATATAAAATAGTTGACTGTAGTTGTTACATGTCTAAGTGCCGTTTAGCAATTGACTGACGTTTTTGAGGAACATATATGGAAAGTTGAACAGTTTTAAACTGCTGATCGATGAGCGATTATTCTACGAAAGAATTGAAAAATTAGAAAATTTCCAGCTCAGTACTTGATTGAAGGTACACATCTTCAAATTGCATATCTGGGTTAGATACTGACAACTAGTTGAATATTGAAACTCTGATGACTGAAAGCACAAGTCAATTCAAATTTCTCTATCCTACATGGCCCGAGAGTTGGTGACGAATTTGAAGTAGTTGTTTTAGGTAACTTGAAAACGATGAATTGAAAATAATCAGGTTCAATAACACGCTTAACAGAGCTTTTATATAGCGAAACAGATGTATGGCGTTTTGTGAACTGTCTATTGAAAATCTCACAATAAAGTGTTACTTGAATGTAACATGTAATTCATAATTCTACTTGTAAATTATCTGAATGATGAACTTTGAACAAAACAACCTATTAACTTTGCAATATAGGAATTATTATTACACAAGAAAGGGATTGATTTCATTTATACCATTATAATCCACAAAATTCAGTTTATATTTCAGTACCATAATGTGGCAGAAAATGCTTGGTATCGATTAAGATCCATTGCTGCTGGAGATTGATGATTTTCTTACAGAATATGTACAAACGATATCGTACCCATAATCTCATGCGTTTTTTTCCTATGTTTAGAGACATTTTTTGAGCATCCAACTCTGATTCCATCATTATCAGATCAGACTGTTTTCAGAAGTCCACGACGTGTAAACAGACCCACTTGCAGAGTTGAAGTGCGTTTGTGACATACAAACTATTTAAATAATTTCGAAAATGCACACAAATCTTTGAATGTTGAACTCTGTTCATGCATGCATGACATGTTCAGTCATTTGTTTGCATCTTTGTATTCTTTTTGAATGCTGTGCAAATTCGGATGTTCACTATCAATGAAACGAATAAAGATCATACCAATGGAAATTCAGAAATTTTCATTGACGATATGATGGATGTTCTACGAACTGAGCAATTATTGCGTGTGATACAATATACTGAGTGCTTATATGACATAAACAAGATATTTGTATATTTTTCTGTGCAGATTTCACAAGTAATGCTATGATTTATAGTAGAGGAGTTTCAATTTGGAGTTTTGAGATTCCAATACGTAGCATTTGAACTGAATGCACAGTTATTTCTTTGCATTCATCTTTGTATAAAGTTTCTTTTTTGGAATTGATTGGCAACTTCCTTTCTTTGAAAGATTCCCATATTTCTTGTATCAAGACAGTGACGTAGAAAGCCAAAACCTTTTTTTTTCCAGAACTAAAATAGTATTGTTGTTTACTTTATTGTGAAACTATAGGATCAAAGAGCTTTGTTATATAGAAAAAGTAGAGAATTCGAAATGAATGAACTTCGAACACGAGCTCTTTTCACAGTAATTTGAGTCGTAAGAGAAATGTTTAAAGACCGAGAACAACAATTGTGAGGCCTCCAGTATTTATAAATATGTATTATGGAAGCAAAATTGAAAGTGTGGATTTATATTCTCAAATCCGTAAAACTATGAAAAATCCTCAGTAAGAAACTGTAGTGAAAATATGCTTTGATTTCATTCAAAATAGTTGACAAGGAATTTTTGAGCAGAAGGAAAAGTGAACATTAAAGATATTATCCCTTAGCTATAAAAAAAATTTCAAAGGAACACATGAAAGTGAGCATGTTTTTGAAGATTAATTTCCTGAACTCGCATTAAAGTTTTATTCCTGAAAACTCTGGAAGTGTGGGTAACGAACAAGAGAAACGTTTCCGCTAAGATATAAAAACGTTCTTAGATCGAAATAAAGGGTTTTTATAATGAAAACAGTAGGAAAACACTGTTGAACCAAAAATATTATTTATGCTTCGATTTCCTCCACAAAAAAACTTCAGTTCAAAAACTCAGCCCTTTTCATTTTCTTCCATTACTCATAAGATTTCTTGAGTTCTCAAGTAAATGAACATGTCTAAAATCAGACTTGACAAAATTATTCTATTATTTTTTCCGATAACTTTTTCCAAAACAAACAATGATCAACAACTTTCGGCTGGAATATTCACATCGTATCAACTAGTGTAACATGTATTTTTCCATTTGATTCATAATTCTCCTATGAAATCATTAATAATGAATCCTAACCTACGTCAACATTTCTAAGACAATAATCGACATTGCGCGAGTATTACAAGAAATCTTTCGTATAATAACCTATAATAGACACTCAGAGGTCAGGTGTAACATATATCGTTTTATGTAACTTCTTTAATGAATGACTTGCAGGTACCATTTCGCTTCCGTCAAACTTTCTCTGCAAGGACGGTCATTGGCATTCTTTGCAAGGTCAAGACCGTTCACGGACAAGTAGAAAGCTGAGAACAAACAGCATATTCTTTCATTATTGTTCTTATATAATTTCTGCTTCATTGAAATCAAGGTCAGGAAATGCTGTACGATTGATGAATGACGTGCGTTTCTGGGTTCCTGAACTAGTTTGGAAGCTGCCCAATTATTTTGAATTTTTCTGTGTTGAAAAGTTGTTTAAGATCATTTATTTATTCATTATATGCAATTATTCCTTTTTAAATTGTAGATATTCTGGAAAATGCAGATATTAGATTTTTTGTTAGTAGATTATTGAGTTGTTTTATTTGATGATCATGTAAATTTCTATGTTGTATACATTTTATAGTAGAATGTTTTTTATTTTTTATAACGGACTGCAGAAAGGTGCATACTTTAAATTACTAAATAGACTCGATATCAAGTAAATGCTTCGTTTTATATAGGTTCTGAGAAATATAGATGAAAAATACATTATTAACTTCATTCTGTCAACTCTTTGATGGTTTCAAAGTTGCATTTGAGGCAGTTCCCTATATCCTAATCAAATACTGAAATTTTGAATGAATTTTATATGAAATTCCAATGATTGGAGCTAGTTTTTTTTCGAATAACATCGATCTAAATATTCCACGAAAGAGTTTCACTATGTGTAAACCAAAAAAACTGAACGCCAAAGGACCTTTCAATTTTGTTGTGTCCTGACATTGATTTAGAGGTTGTTGTCTTACAAGGATTTTTATCAATAAACTTTAATGACACTTTTCAAAATTCAAAGTTACTTTGGTTATATTGAGCCAAATATCTATTTGTTTTGAATCGGCTTCCATTTGTTGATGTATTAATTACGAATCTTCATTGCAATAGATCAAAGTTGTATCATTAGTAATACTTTCCCAGAAAGCTGTAATTCCGAAATTGAATTTATATAAGCAAGAAAGAGTAAAGGTCCCAATATAGATCCCTGCGGTTCTCCACAAACTTTTTTTAATGAACTATTCTTATTTTTGAAAGACACACATTGCTTCCTATCACTTAAATAATTTTGAAACCATAAAAATGCATTACCTCTGATACCAATATCAAATTTGTTCAACACAATTTCATGATTAACAGTATCAAAAGCTTTACAGAGGTCTAAAGACAGAAGACCACATTTTTTTGCGCACATCCAATTCTAACTCAATATTACAGATCATATCCAAAGCGGCACATTCTCTATTACTAGGCAATATTGTTTTGGATACAAGAAATAAATGCATTCCAAATATTTCGATAATGTCTTGTACATTACTCTCTCAAGAATTTTGGATATAATTTGGAAAACAGAAATCGTTCTATAATTGTTAACATCTTTTCTTTTTTGCTTGTTTTCAATTTTTGAAGAATTTTACCCGAATCAAACGAAATATTGAAGTGTTTTGAAGCAGAGTTACTAATTCTAATTCAACTCTCTTTATAATTTTGGTTGTGATATTATCAAATACAAAGTCTTCTTTTGTACTCAAATCATCAATTGAATCATAAGTTACCGGCTTCATAAGTATTGATTTTGGATAACTCATTCTCTCAGTAGTCACAATAGTGAATGATAGTTTCAAACTTTCACAAATTTCATTAGTGTCTTCTATCTGTTTTCCAATAAAATTATTAGAATCATTTTTTATTTGTGGAAGTGGCATTCAGACCACATGCCAGGGTATCTGATTTCCTTTTCTATCAGTGTTTTTATTATTGCATTCAACATATTAGGATTTCGAAGAATTTGCAAATTCGTTTGAACTAACTCGATAAAGCAGAAAAAAAAATTGTGAAACTCTTTTCTTATGACAGTTTTTCTTTCAAAGCGAAAACGGAAGTTTGATAGTTATTTTTTGTGGATCTCACAAATATTACACCTCGTCAAATTTTCTCATGTATCAATTTATTTACTGAATTTAAATTGGACTAGTGGTTCAAATTCACTGCATTCATAATCCTGATAGATTAACACTTTCTAAAAGGACTCATTTGAGAATACATGCTAGAGTATGCTAAAGTGTATCATTCAAACACGATCCTCATCGACCTGTCCTTTTAAAATGGGCTTTTTTTCCAATTCAAAATATACCCACTAGAATTAGTCTACTAAAATTCAACGTGATTAAATGAAAGATTAATTTTTGGTCAGAATGTTAACAAAAATTTATTGAAATGTGTTGTCTCAATGCTTGAGTGGAATAACAAAGATGCGAATTTTCAAGAAACACAGAGCACGTTACATGATCTGAAAATGTCAAGTTCAGATTTGTGGAAATATGGAATGTATTGGTATCAATGAAATAACCTCAACGATTCAATCTTTACAATATATAAGTATTTATCCGACAACTAATATGTTGAATTATGGAAAGTGAGGCAACAAAAGGAGTGTAAATTTGTCAAAATCCTTGTAATAACAAATCAAATATTGGAAATTCATCTCAGAATTATGTATTACTAAATACTAATTGTGATTTCATTCCGCCACATATTCATTAGGCAACATTTCATGGGTAGTAGGTTAGAAGTAACCTTGAAAGATAAATGATAATCTATTATGTTGCTAAATATGTGACAATTATGATTTCACAAAAAATCGCACGATGCATGATCTTCCTCTGTTAAACCAGGGGAGAAGCACTCACCAAACTTGTTTTCAGTATTTCCACTCATTATGATTCCTTTTCAGCATTTGATGAGCGGTTGGTTCTGGGATTACAGCTACAAATGTCAACCGGTAGATTATTCGCATAATTCGAAAGCGTTGAGAGTAAGTATTTTGAAAAATAGTTTCACATAGCACATTGACGTAGTTCATTCATCTAGTGCTAATAATGTTTATTATTTTGAGAATGAAATGTTACAATTTGAAGCTGAACAAAATCTCTACCTTCTTATATTGTACTATTCAATAAAACCTCGTGAGCGAAAATGAATGTATCTAATATTTTCATTATTCATCCCATTGTTTCATTTGTTAGGATGTAATCGAAAAAATAACAAATTTTCTACGTTATTCCAAGAACATAACAGAAAACAGAGGGTTCTTGAAAAAATACGAATAAAAACATGACGTCACTCTAACTCCGAAATGGTGGCGACCCAAGATGGCCGATCAGTCTTTTATGCACCACCTTAATATGGGTATTAAATAAAAGGATATGCAAGAAAGAAAGCGAAAAATGAAGTGTCGTCATCCTGAATTCGATATTGCGGACTATATTTATACGCACCTTCATGATATGTGTAACAAATGAGAGGAGTCGCTGGAAAAAATACGAAAGATAACATGACGTCACTTTTACTCCAATATGGTGGACGACACAAGATATCGGACAAGTTTTTTATGAACTTTCATGATATGGATATGAAATCAAAGGATTTACAGAAAAGAATGAGAAAAATAGCATAATGTCACTTTGAATCCCATATGGCGGACTGTCCAAGATGGCAAGGGCTTGCTGAGAAGAATAATGAAATTTAAATTTGAATTCAATATGGTGCAAAGCTACAATAATTGAAATGAATGGACTGAGAAAGATGTCCTGCGATAACAAAAAATTAGATGATAGTGAAAACTAGCTTTCATTTACACACTCTGAAAAGAATTAAAAAATTATCAATTCAAACTCTTCAATTCATTATATTAAATAATTAATATGGTATAAAAGCTTGTTGCGAAATTTTCCTGTGTTTATGAACAAAAATACAATACCTATGTAACTTGGTCTTGACATAAGTAATTCTGAGACAAAAATTATGTATTTCTTCATAAAAATGGTGATTATTGCGACAAGCTTTAATATCATACGAATTGTGTATTGTAACATATCTATGGGTACAAACTGAATTGAAACTCATTTTCTCCATTTCGAAGTATGTTAATGAAAACCTTTTTTTCAATTATTAATTCATTTACTCGCCAAATTTAGGATGAGTAGTTACAATTGCTATATATACAACTTTCCATTCGGTCCAAAATGATATTGTCGAATATCTACAATATTCATTCTTGAATTGAAATGACTCCAAACCCAGTAACCTTTTCCAATTCGTGACAGTATTGTACCGAATTTTGCCTGGGTAATAAGTTTCACTTCATCTTTCTTCAGCTTTTTTAAAACATTCGAAAAGTGTTAAAGTACTATTTATAGTGATTTCAGTTTGTAAAAAACTTGATAAAAGATTAGTTACCGTTTTTGCAGGCTTTGTTCAACCCATAGAAATCTACAGGATGGTCGAATGTACCAATTTATTCGAAATTAAACGACCTCATGCATTTATTTTTATGATATTTAGTATGTTATAAAAATATCCCTAGACTTTTCCGATGTGTGTATTTCATCAATTTATATGAATATCAAATTCATCAGCTATTTCCACAAAGTACGTGGTAATATCTATAACATTACTGTATCTGCTATTCCAAAAAAGTGTTCAACTATAATTTCTTCTATTCCAGTCTTCATATAAATGGTTCTCAAGTAAGTTTTTTTCACTTTAGTATTTTTAGATCCGGTTAATTCCTTCACAAATTGAGTATGCATAGTTGGAGACTGGCTATAAATCAAATTATTTGAAAGAATAATTCGTTCGTGCCAGTCTAAAATTACCTACACTGTAGGCTAATGGAGTGACACCTATCAGAAAACAACTACTCCCCCGGCTAATACCACAAAAAGCGTTGGATTATATCCGACAGGTATCAGTTCAGAATTCTTCAATAAATTCATTCCTGCATATGCTGTTGGCAAAACAGCTGCCACAATCGATTTTCAATTGTTGGAACATACTTGTAGATTTCGAGGTATTTGGCCACTCTTCAGTTCGAAGAATGATGCTCTGAAGAAATTCTATTTTCAATTATCAGAAATCATCGGCTTTATGTTGATGATAGACTCTACTTTGCAATCACGAGTGGCCAAATACCTCGAAATCTGCCTACAAGTGTATTCCAACAATTGAAAATCGATTGTGGCAGTTGTTTTGCCAACACCATATGCAGGAATAACTTCAGTGAAGAATCCTGCACTGACACTTGTCCGATATAATCCAACGACCTTTGTGGTGTTAGCCAGGGGAGTAGTTGTTTTCTGATAAGTGTAGGTAGTTTGAGACTGGCGTGAACGAATCGTTCTTTCAGATAATTCGTTTGATTTCTATTTTTTCCTGAGATGTACAAACAATGTACGGGAATTACAGAAATTACACTATATTGTACACTAATTGACAACTTTATGCAATCCACACCTGACGTTTGACTTTCAACCTAACTTCCATTTTCAATTTTTGTTCACAGATTCTACCACTATCAGTGCTAATTCATACAGAAAGGGTGTCTTGGAGGAACGAGTTGTGGATGTGGTGCAGACTTTACCTTTTCTTGAGTCTTTTTTAAGTCAACAAATAGTTTAATTCAAGTGTGAAAACGACGTGAAACGACAGAAGTCTGCACCAAGTCCGCACCTCGTCTCCACCCGACGTCTGTTCTGTGTGAATCGGCCCTACAACCCACGAAGTCGTTTTCTGGATCCCTTCGTGATCTCTAATCATAGAGGCTAACACATTTGTGTTGCTTACTTACCTAACGAAAGTAGTCGCACACTGACCGCTGACAATGTACCATGGTCAATGAATCTCGTAGTAAATTATTTTTATATGTTTTTGGGTCCTTTTCAGCAAATTGTAGTAAATTGATGGAGCGACTAACAGAACAAATTTATATAAAATAATTGAACTCATGGAGAATCACACGAATTTGCGTATGAAAAGGATGATTTCTGTTCCGAAAAGTTTCATAATCTCAGAAATTGTAAACAACTTTGCTCAAACTAATCACATCTGCAACATATATACATCTCATGGCTTAGGTTTCTCTCGGAACTAATCAAAAAAGACGGCTAGTGCTGTTCCTACTGCTTCCTTGATATCAAACTGTGTTTCTTCGCTTCTTCTGTTAGTCTAATCAACAAGTTCAAAAACATGAAAATAGAGATAAAGGTCCTAAAAATATGAGCGATAGCTCATTCGATTCTGAATCAGCTCTAGAACAAACAAAATAAGATTTTAAAAAAANACAATTTTTTTTAAATCTTATTTTATTAATAACAATTGCAAATTTTTACCTGCACCAAAATCCTTCAAAAACATTTTTCTAGAGGTGATTCTGAATCGAATGAGCTATTGCTCATATTTTTAGGACATTTTTTTTTCATGTTTTTGAACTTGTTGATTAGACTATGTCGAAGACGTGACACGCGAAACTATATAAACACACATACTGGATGTTGTTTGAGAATTCAGTTGGGGTTAATATTTTCGTTTTCAACCTTTCTTCTCAGTAATAGTAACAAGATAAGATCCATTTCCACAGATCAATTCGAAATACATTTGTTATCTTCTTAAGTACTATATGCGGATTCTTCGAGTTATTCTTATTTTTTCGCGAGTTCGAACGTATATTATTAATATAATATTTCATTCTTTCTTCCATATTTTCCATAAATTTTTGCAAATTGTAGGCTAATTGAACTTTTTTCAGATCGTGGAACATCATATACCAGGAAGTATTGAGTCGTCTATAAAAAAAATGTCTTTGTTATTTGTCAATATTATTGAATGATTATGTTTCAGTGTACATCACCATCAGCCGTACTTCATCGCATTCACTAGAAATCATTATCATTTTGAAACGTCAAGTCATCCATTTCAGGTGTACCCCAAGCAAACGCTATTTCACCAATTTGTATATTGTAGATGGCCAACCTATGCTGGTGGTACTACATTTCGAAACTCACCGAATTTGCTGACACACTATTTTTCGTGTTGCGTAAGAAGGACAGTCAAGTGAGTTTCCTTCATCTTTACCATCACAGTTTGACTCCGGTGGAAACATGGTGCCTCGTGAAATTTCTAGCAGGTATGTTCAATTTCAAGGTTATGACAATAAAATATTGAATTCGATTGGTAGTGGTGACGCAACGCGGTTATTGAACTATGAAATACAATTTGTTGAGGCTATTTTGATATGTCGTAATATCTCATTCGCTAAAAAAATATTTCGTACATAGATTTCGAATTCAATGAATTTATTTTCAATGTCAACTACCTTCAAAATATTTTGTTTTCTAGGAATATAAGCGTATACTCCTTTTTCTGAAACACTTATGCGATTAATTTTGCACACTTTACATTCCATAATTACCAAAATGTTGGAGAAGAATCACGAAACTATGACTAACTTGACTCTCATTTGTTGAATGAAACAAATTACTTCATTCCTGAATACAGTTTACTTGTGATACGCTCATTAATATNCGAAAAAACTCGATAACGACAACTTTTTTTTTTCATCATTATGTATAATTTTCACTTCGATTACTTGAAACATGTAAAATTCCATGTTGCGTTGATGAACAGAAAAAATGTTTCAATTGAAGTATACTACTATAATTAACAACCAAATAGGTTAAGAAAATATTTCCTGTAAACAAGCAGAAAACATTATTGAGACTTCGATAAAAATTTCCAATGATACTAAAAAAACAGTCATAGTTGTGGGTCAAGATATTGATCTTTTGGTAATTTTCAATCAATTAAATTTTAATAATCATGACATTCATTTCCTCAAGCCAGGTTCTGCGAATTTAAAGATCTATTTTTCACGTCTAATAGTTCCAAATACGAATTCTTTCAAAATATCGTTGCATTTCTGCATTGTTTTTCTGGTTCTCCTGTAAAGTATTTTTCCTTTCATTTTTGTCATATTTTCTTCCTCTTCCAATGGATTTCATCCTACTAATATTTTCTGTAACTTTTTATCTTTTTTGAAAGCTTCGGCCCTGTAACTTTCAGATACAAACTGAAAGAAACAAACTCTGGAAACAGATACTTTCACATATTCAAAAAACACACTTCAATTCAATATTTCCACTTGAAAGATCACAAAACCGCGACACATGCTTTGCTTTATGTATTACAAATTACGTCAAATATTATGGAAATACCAATTTATTTTGGTGTATTTAAAAAACACACTTAAAAATTTACGAAATCACGACACGTGTTTTGAAAAACAAAGAATTTGAACTTACAGAATAAATAATTGAGTAAATTTGTTAAAAACAATAAAGATGAAACTTCAGTGACGAATAGATGGGGGTTATACAAGTTGACTTGTGGTTCTTGTACATAATTTTATATCGGACAAACCGGAAGATCTTTTCCCAGAAGAATGAAAGAGCATAGGCGTAGTTTTCTGGATGAGAAGACCAATTCAACATTTGCCAACCATCTTTTAATAGAGAGGCAAATCACGATTATGACGTATTGCATTTGGAAGAGAAAGGGTCAAAGCTCAACCTTTTGGAATGATCAGAAATAAATATGTTCAAAATATGTTTAAAATATGTATTTTTCGTTAACCAACTATCGCACCCCTACGAACGATAACCCTCAAAAGTCAAAACTTGTGAGAGCTAAGGACTAACAAGGTCTTACCTTTCAACGTGTGATTCCTAACACGGTTTGGACGATAGCAAGTGAAAATCGAGCGTTCATCCTGGAGCTTGAACCATCGACTCACACATCGGCCGATTGACTGAGTGGACAAAGCACCCACGTCGACCGACCGATGTGAATATTCGGGATCATTGCTCAATGATCAAAGTGATTTTAATAGGTGATTAGGACAGATCTTAGAAGTGGGTAAAATTGAGGCACATGTAAAAATGTTATTCATTATTCTCCAGTCTTAGGAGTTGTTCCTAGATAGGTGAATAATTTATCATGTAAAAATTTGTCAGGTTGTAAAAGTCATAACGATTCAAATTACTATAAAAGCACGACACAGAATTTGTACAACAGTATTGACATTCGAAGATGGTATCGTATATCGAAACACGTGTCGTGATTTTTTAAACTTTCAAGTGAAAATCTCACATTCTTGCAGTTCTACCATAAATTTTATTTGTGTATTTATGTCTATTTTCAAAATGAATAATGGAGCGTCCCTGTATTGAAGTAACGGAGATTAGGCTGACGTGTGGGAAGTGTCCAAGTATCACCTAACTCCAAACCAAATTTCGATATCATAGTGCTTCTTACCTAAAAGATATCGGCATTTTTAGAAGGTACCTTTGCATAAACATTGCAAAGGTACCTTTTTCGTATTTGTGAAATACTAATTACTATTATGTTGATTCAGGTGAAACTGCATAATTCGGTGCAACATATCTGGTGCTCAATATTTAAAAACGTATGAATACGGGAGATATTATCATTATATAAAAATTGATCAGAACATTTTTCTAATAACTTATGCTCTACCATTACATGGTACGATTTGCATGGTATTCTAATGCGTTCATCGTGACTTCATCGATATTATTTACATCAGCAAACTCGTAATGTAGTACAGAACAAAATCTCTTCTCCAGTTAGTTATTAGCTGGATGAGTATATTATTTGTCTAATAGTTAATAGTATTCAGTTGGAACAATGAAACCTATTTTTAAAGGGGGAAACAAACATTATTTTTGTCGCCGTTCACGTAGTTTATTGAAGAAAAATTAAAATCTCACATCAAAATGTGTTTCATGAATATGTTATAATGGATTCTCATCAAGTATCGGTCACTTCTATCACACCCCTAAAAAAGTTTTTTGCTATCAAAAATAAATGTAGTTTGAAAAAACCATAAAACACGCTTTTGAAGAACATCGAACTAAAATGTTGAGCTACCAAGCCCAAGGAAAGCAGCAGGCGCACCAAGGAGGGTTACAAATAAAGCAGCAGGTGCGCGTGTTGATGAAAAAATGCTTTTTTCAAATGAAGAAATACATGTAAAGTGAATTAATATTATATCAAGTAGATTACGTACAGCGCCATCTGCCCGCGAATAGATCAAGCAATAATGTCGATAATTCTATCAAATACAGATCTCGAGCATTCAAACGGAAAAGAAGAGTTACAAACAAACATAGAAGCATACATACATACAAGCTAATAAAAGCGTGTTGAAAATCATACGAAAAAAAGTGCAGAGTTTGCCTGGGACATCTTTACAAGCTAGATTTAAAAAACTGAATAAACCCCTTTCTTCAATTTCTACTGTTTTTTTTAATAGGCAATTCTAAATTACTCTCTAAATCAATGATTGCCTTCAAAATTCGTAAACGTCCTTTATTATTTCCGTCAAGACAATTAAGTGGGTGTTAACCCAATTAATTTTTTATTAACTGTACGGTAGTAACCTTGTCTAATATGGTTAGCAGTTCTGGTGATATGTATCAAAATTAACAATTTTGATTAAATCCATGTCAAGGATTCTGATACTTTTCGTTGAAAAAGTCTGTCATTGAAAATGTAATATAGCGATTTAGATTGTATATCTCCTAACAAACGGTCATTGTTTTTTTCAAAAACTCTTCAGATTTATAAATCCCATTCAATAATGGAAGTATGGTGTAATTATTTCGAATTCATTTATGTACGGGTAAATGGTAATTTGTATCATCCGAAATTGCGACGTTTTCTTTTCTCACTATGATGTTTTGCAGAAGTTGACTAATATTTCTTCAAATGAAGTTACCCCTGTTTGTCTGTACTTTTCATTGATTCAAATTATGACAATCGGGCTATAATGAAATTTTCATCTAACGACTCACTAGAGTACGTAATTATCTTTTGTTTTTGAAACATCATTATGTAGATGATCTACTTTTCTCTCATTTCATTGATACTCATTCAATTTTGTTTTTTTTCTGAAATGTGATTTATTTCTGTTGTGAAAAATTAACCATTTAACTTTCATTCGCTTCTGTAACCTTCAGTATAATGATTAGACTTTAAAATGCATCCGGTTTTTGTAGGGTCTGAATTCTCTGGTTTTGTCATGTTCTCCCACGATCTGAAAAATCTGAAATTATTGAAGAAGGTGAGGATTTATATCTGTTATTCAAAATATACTAACACAATGATACAAGTAACTGAATACAAGTATTCGAATTATTCAAAATGAGATCATCTCTCAAACCGTTCACCATAAATACATTTTTCGCTAATAGATGGAAAGCTGTGCATAGACAGTTTTTCTGAAACAGTAATTTACGAAAATATACCTTTTGGATTTAATGGTTATCATATACAGCGTGACTCACGGTCGATGGTAGGGTAGACGTTTCTGGAAAACGCAAAGCATAATTTCTCTGAAAATTTCACCTCTCACATTTCCTTACCTGTTCTATCGATCTAAAATATTTTCAGAATTGCGTCGTTGCCACTTCTATCAAAAAGTCCTAGCAATTATATTTTTTTGAATGGAACACCCCGTATATTAATACATTTTTGGAATTGCTCTAGTATTTTGATACTTTTTTATCAATAATGTTCTATACCTATATCTATCTGTTTTCGAGATAAAAAATAAATTGTGCTAAATATGGTCCCAAACATAGCCTTACTTGAAATTAAGTACATCAGTACTCTCAATTCATAAAAAGTTGATATTTTGATGATAGTTTGGACAAACTCGTAATATTCAAATAACACCAAGAAACCGACTCCATATCATACAGGGCGTGCTAAAATTACTATTATTTCCATTGTGCATAAAAGTAGTCAAAAGTTCATTTTTTCAAACGAAACTCCTGTTTATTACTCGGTAAATTGGAAGATGGTGAAAAATGCTTCAATATGATGTATCATGTCCCCATACCTAAATCATCAAGTTTTCTCAATAAAATCGCTCCTTCTAGAAACATTATATTTTTTTTAGAATTTCGATTAAGGTAGCAGTGGAATTATCAAGCTTATAGCAGTTCGGTTACTTTTATAAGTAATTTACAAAGAGTTATCGACGGTGTTTCGAATCATCTTCCAAAATGAATGCAAATATCAATTATTCAAACGAAGTTCTTA